AGCAGGAAACCCATGTCCACGGGTGTGTGTACAGATGAGTACTCAATACAAATCCAGTAAAGTCTCCCGATGAAGACAAACCTCAGTGCCGCTTAAAAGCTGAGTGTCACACGAGCTCTACTTCTAATATCGATTTATACTTCAGCATAGTGGGTGGTGCGGTGATAACGTCTGGTTACTTCTCTGTAGACTTAAGGGCATAGTAGAGGTGCATTCAGTTGCTGTAGGAATTTTGCACACGTAGAGCCCATTAGGATAGTAACCACGGCAAGGTGTGAATGCTCACTATATTATATTATATTATATTATAGCCCACACACTGAATATGATTGAACATACGAATATTTTTACTGTTGAATTTTTTTAAAATCCCTCAGCAAACCCTAATATTCCTTTATATTTTGTAACAAATATACTGATCTATGTGGGCTCGTTCCAGTTAAGGTAAACCTCCTGTTACAATAAAGCCTGTTGCTACCAGTCCAAACTCTGCTTTTCTAAGCTCTGGGGCCTGAGGGATCTGCGAGGATTCTGTTTTGAGATTGTTTGAACTCCTCTGCATGATGATTTAAGATCTGAAATTCGAGCTTAAGCATGGGCACTTGAAGGCAACACAGAATGCAGGGCATCCACGCACAGCGGCTACAGGAGGGGACTGATGACGTAGATCCTGACGCTCACACATGACCAGTCCATATATGGAAAGAGAATTCGGCGTGCTTTCCGTTAAAGGAACATGAACAGAAAGTAAAACTCGTCATAAAAGGAATCTCCCGAAATTTACGTTGAAAAGTCCGGGTATGGACGGATTATGAAACAGCGGGGCCCCTGGGCACATACATGTAACAGGCCCCTATCTGTCCAACACTTCTAGGAGCAAGACTCACAGACTGAATAACCATATTGTGTCAATTTGTTCGGGTTTTGTGTCTTTTTTTGGCTATTTTGTGTCTATATATATATAATAACTTTTTGTAGTTTCTTTTTGTTGTTTTGTTTCTCTTTTTATTGTTTTGTGTATTTTTGTGGTTGTTTTGCGTCCTTTGGGGTCTTTTCTTTTTCTTTTTAGTGGTTTGGTATCTCTGTACTGTAGCTGCTTTGCATTTATTTATATTTGTGGCTTTTTGTAGTCATTTCCAGTGGAAAGGAAGATTATGAATTTACTTTTAAAACTTATGATCAGCCTAAAAAATTTTGAAGATTTGTTATGAACTTAAATGACCAACAGCAGGCTAAGTGAAGTAATTTAAATTAGCTTCTTGACCAGCATCACAGTAATGCTTCAGTAATAATCAAATAATGTTATGAATCTATTTATCTTGCCATGAACTCAGCTTCTGTTCTTCTATTGTTCTGCTTTTACAGTAAAATTGACACACCATTTGTGTCACCACAGCTGCAGAGCCTGTTAAATAACACAGGCTCTGTAAGTCAAAGTAAGGCTCACTTTGACACATCAGATGGAAACCACATCCTCATTTGTGAATTTTTTTCCACTGCAGATGATGAGATATCAACAGTGAACATGAAAGGTATAAAAACCACATCCTGGAATCAGCTGCATTTTGATTTCACATCTTGTTCTTATTATGTTTCCTCTTTGCCTGAAAGACTGAGCAGGTGTGGTCAAATGTGCTGCCGCATGAGAAGAACGTTTTGCGTTAACAGTTTCTGTGAACATAATAAAGCGCCAAAGGTCCTAGTACATTCTTGGCAGGCAAGGGAGCACTCAGCTCTTTGTTGAGGTTTTGCACGTTTACACCCATCACAGCACTTTGCTTATAGACAGGGTGGTGTTGGTGCTTTATGACACACAATTCCATTATGCGTTCTTTTTTTCTTGTAGCCCAAAATAACAACAATAGCACTAATGATGACGTGAAAGAAATAAAGAGGATGTAGTGTGATCTCAAAAGTGGGAATAAACACCTGCTGATTTGTTCTCTATGGTTTATCCTGAACTAAAATATCTTTGTCCTGAGGCTTTTAGAAGATAAATAATACATAGATAAAAATATCAAAGCATATACATGAACATGCAGTTTTACATCTCTGCACTTTGTGAAAATGACATGTCATATCAATTAAATGACACCGGCATTTTCTGATTAAAGTTTTAATTAAAATACGAATTTATCCACAGATTAAAAATGAAAGGCAGAAAAAGCAAAATGTAGCTACAATCAGGCACCAATGATACATGTTATTTCATATTTTCTTAACAATTGCGATAACGCAACAATAACATTATTTACTGATCATTATTTAATATTTATTTATTCAACAGAAGACAGGGCTGGGCCACAGTAGCCCACCAAAGACATTCATGGATTCTCCATTATAGATAACTGAGTAAAGATCAAAGCTGATCCTTTCCCTCCCACCCCGCTTGATACTCCTCTCACTACCTCACGAGAACTGAAGATTTAAAAAAATGTCCACAGGGGAAAAAAAAAAAAACAGCACTAATTCAGTCAGAAATCAAGAGTAAGAAGAGAGTGGTATCTAATATCAGACAAGCTAGCTATTTGGGTGGAAGTTCAGAGTGATAATCCACACACAAGTACTTTTGATATAACCATTAGCCCTGAAAAACAGATGACAAAGCTGGTGCAAAAAAAAAACAAAAAAACAAAACCAAAACAAACAAACCCAACAAAAACAGAGGTGAGCTACGGTGCAGAGTAGCCAAGGGGCATAAAGAGACAACAAATATGGCATGAAAATGAGTGTAACAAGAGTTAAGACATCCCACCGGTGGTGGACATGGCTTGGCGAGACATTCCGGCACTTGTGATTGGAGTTGTCTTGAACTGAGGAGTTTTGGGGTGGGTGTGACTAAGGCAGGACACTTCATTCATCACTACAGCTGCAGCGCTGCTTTGAATCTGCACGACGTTAGAAAAACAGAGACAACGTGAGCACCGCAGGCGCTCTCAGCACCCACGAAGAAGAAAAAAACCAAAACATGAGGACTGGGTCAGACATGTACGGTCGGGTACGATGGCTGAACCAGGTCAGGGAAGAAGTTGATGTCTTTGGAGTCTGTTCGTTGTTGTTTATATCAAGCTGATGTAACTGCAGCAACACTGATACATTTTTGTGTTAAAATATGGCAAAACCTCCACCAGCTTTTTAAGGTCTGGGTGATAAGGAAGTGGAGGTGAGACAACTTCTGGATCTCATTATGGGAGTGAACTCTGAAATCAAAAGGCAGTGAATGGGATTAAGTTAAGGAGAAACCCTGGTACTGTACATACATGGGGGCGGTAACTTTAGACCCTGTTTAAGACTGCAGAGGACAGACAGGACAGACTACACCTCCACCAGCTCTCATACTCCACAACTGAAGGAGAGATTGAGTCTTACAGATCACAATCATAGATTCACAATCATAACAATTACTGTCCTCGTGCTGTATAGAAACCCATGATATTCATGCAGTATTAACACAGGAAACAAAACAGAGCAATATTAGTTTTCTAAACATAAATGAATTGAATTTAAAGAAGTTAATGAAAATGACGTCTGGCAGTTGATGTGTTTCTTTACATTGTACTGGGATGTAAACAGATTAATTTGGTAGCCTGACTAACATGGCCCCAAACGCACACTTCAGTTCCTTCTGAATCCAAAACCTGAACCTTCCCCTTTCCCTCTCCTCCTCTCCCTCTATCCTCAGTCTGCACAGTAGCTTCCTTGCCTTTGTAGTATGATGCATGTTCAGTGGATGTAGACATCCCTTCCCCAGTCGTCCTGGTTTTTGTTGCGGCTCATGTTGGCCCCTGTGTCTACAGGGTCTTGGCAGTAACGCTCCCTCAGCTTAACACGTCCATGAGGCTGCATCTGGCTCTGCATTGGTGGGTGGTTCAGGTTCTCTTGGTCCGGCTCGGCGCCTTCATCTTCCCAGGAAGCCTGTCTGCCATGATGCTGTGCCAGGTGGAGGCGGCTGCCCCTGCCCCCTCGGTAGGGCTCGGGCTCTTCATAGGGGTCAGTCTCAATGTCCATGCAGGAGTCACCTGCCTCGGTGTAGGCAGAGTCCCGGCTGCCCTGGGTCTCAGAGTCGAATGTGTCTTGTCGCGACAGGCCTCGCGCACTCCCTCCTCGAAGCTGGCCACGAGAAGAGCGCAAGTATGTTTGCGGCTGCTGAGGCTGCTGAGGGTT